AGTTTGTTGCAGTGCCTGGGATATGAAAAGGACACAAGCTCAAGGATAGTGTTTATAATCACGTATTCTTAAGCATACTTAATATTCACTCATTATGATTAAACCATGCTGTATTTTAGCTGTACACTCGTCCAACTTCCATCATTAAAATGATACTTACCTTTACATCATTACTCTATGTATGTAGCTATCTTGTGCTTTGCAAATATACCTATGTCTAAAATTTTAATAATTATCAAGTACAAGGGTATAGTTTAAAATAATCTTGGCATACTTAATATCACTCAATTATATAACCAGTCTTGCATTAAGCCTCCCTCAAATTTTAGCTGTATCGGCTTGGTTGTGGATTGGCCAGGAGAATCAGCACTTTTGTAAACAACAGGTGCTGCTAAACAGAGGCGTTTATGGGTGCAATGCTTTGATCTTGTTGGTATTCCGAGCTCACACACTTTCAGTAGACATGTTGTATATATCTGAGACCCTATAATATATAATGAATAAACAGTAATAATAAGGGAACTTTAATGCTGACTTTAAAGAATGTATGATGCCACTGAAACGAGCAGATACATGAAGTATTCATCTTGTCATCTTACAAAGAACAAGTGCTTCGAATAACTGAACATTATCCTCAGTCTACTGTTACTCAAAGGTGTTCAGAGTTCACCTGCTTTCTCAACAGCTAAACTCCTACACGGAGGCGTGCAACACCGTCATGGCAGTCTGCTTCCATCGGTAACAGTGAAGACCTCGTCCAAGTTCCAAACCTAGTGCTCAAAGGTCAGTTTACGTGTCTCCGTCTTTCTCAGAAAAAAGGTCAGTTGGGGAAACAAATGCTCAGCATAAGACATGATTACTATACGTCACAGATTGCTAAATTGTAACCCTTGTCGTTTCTCCGGTAGATTTGGCCATATATGTTACAAAATCTCGATCATCCTCCCAAATGATATCCTCCTCCTTTTCCCACCCGCAGCAAGCACTTCCACCCTGGTTAGTGTTTAGACCTTCTTCCCCGTGCTCTGGTTGTTCACAATTATCTTATTGTTATGGACTATGCTCCCTGATAGTTTCACCCATTTGCTTGTGCCTCCAGGCGCCTATATACTGGGGTATATATTGTGTTATTAACAAAGTTGGAGATGAGTTTACGAAAACAGAACAAAATGACAACATTTTTTACTGGAAAGTGTTTTGGCTTTTCCACCATGTGCGGACCACCGTATGTCATTTTGATTTATAAAACCAATTTCAGGGAAATACTACGGAAGAATACCGAACCGAGCGAGCCATTATCATGATCTCATATCTAAATGATTATCTCCGCATTTGCTAACTTAATGGAAAAGAGGATCACAAATCAGTTAAGGGGAAAAGGCAGGCTATTTTTCTTATTACTTTCCAATTTCCTTTTGTGTGATCATTATCTTGCAACCGCAAAGGCAAACGCAGCCACAGCAAACGCAACAATCGCAACAAAAGCTAAGCAGCGAGCCAGCAACAGCAAGCAGCAGCAGCAGCAAGCCTGCCAGCCGTCGCCCACGTACCCGCCGCCCCACCAGCCTCAGGTCTGTGTGATGATATCTCATGTCTGAAGGAGCAGCTTGGAGAAAGGACGGCGCATTCTGCAGCTGTATATCAGACGCAGCGCAGGAGTCTGCATGCACATTAAAGAGAAGCTGTGCCACCTCGCTAATACCAGGTAACACTCCCACAAAGATGACAAACCACCTTATTTAACTAACCCACTGATAGTCCAGGCCAAGAAAGCAATTCACATACCAATTCAGTACATGAATCATTACACATCCTCAATAACCTGCCCCAGAGGGCAATGAATCTGGGAAGTGTTTGTAGCGTTTCTCCTATCATAAGACATCCAATGTGCAAATCTCGTTTCCTCAGATTTGCAAACCAATAAATAGAATTAACTTCCAGATCCAACTTCAAACTAAAAACATAATTCAGGTACAATGAATGGTGTAGTAATATGTTTGTTTGTGTGTAAGATGTTTGTTACAGCAGCCTTCCGCATATGCTGTCCTGGCCCAGCAGCCAGCCAGCAGACCATGATATCATTGCTTATTTGAATCCGAACCAGGGGTCAGGTGTGATCAGGCCAGCGCTCAGGCCACTCAAACCATCGTCCTCAGGACCAAGGTTCATCCCCCTCACTACCCCTCCAGAGAGAGACAGCTCACCGCTCAAACACGGTTACAAGAGCTACACTAGGGAAACAGTCCCGCAACACTACAGTCGTCGAAAATGTATTCTCTCATGTTAAGAAGGTAATATTGCTTCAATGTACCTTCAAGTCATTAGCAGCTAACGACTCATGGCTTACTTCATGTGTCTTCACAACACTAGCAGAAGGCAGTATGTTTCACCTAATATCAGTCAATTATTAAAAGATATACACATTCCACATCAGGTGTAATGTCATTGTTTCTGAAAATACTGAGCGTTCCTGTGTTTATTCGTATGGTGCAGCAGAGATGCGCGCAGCTGGGCAGGTCCCAGTCTGGTGTATTCATGCCTGTGCAGACCAATCCCAGTCGTGGACCATGCCCTTCTACAGCAACTTCTTCTATGATGTTTCTCTCAGACCAACACCCGCTCTCTGGCAGGATGCCAACCAAAGACAAAACAGAGGCGAAGTTCAACGCAAGTAAGGAACAACTTCGGTAAGAGAAATGGGATTCAGCCCACTCAAAACCACCAGTATGCAGACAAAAGGGACTTATCTAATATGAAGTCAGTTTTATCAAATAGTGGCCTTCCTCAACTGTTAAACTCCTTATTTTATGTGTGTGTGCTTCCCTGCCCTGAGAGACCAAGTGGCTATTGTTAGTGATCCATGTAGTATATATATATTTTTTTTTTTTCATTTCAAAGATGTCACAAAATGCTTTTTGAAGGATAACTTTTTTCCGGTTTTTGTTGTTTGTTGTTTGTTAATACTCCTTCCGGCAATTTAATGATGGCAGCAGTGCCACAATTCACCCCACCATGTTCTGTAAACAGCTGAACACAGAAGATCAGGGAAAAAATTAAAACCACATTTTCAGCCAAATATAAAGACATGAAGTCAATGTCACATACTTGCTAACACACTATAATGTTTAAACCCTCTGGGTATATATGGTTTTAACATACCTGGAAAAAACAGGAATGTTTGAATTTCTATTTAGAACATGGGTAGTGGTGCCTCTAGTGGCCAACATAGGATTTAAACTTAGAGAACTGTATCCTGAAACAAAAAGAAAGAAACACCTACAGTCTTCATAGATACATAGGTTAAACTCCTTATACAGGAAAGAACTCTATTTAAGAATTTTCTCTCTCTATTCACTTGCTTTTTTTTCACAGACGATTTAGTTTTTCCAAGTAACACATTTTATTTCCCCGCAGCATGCTACTCAACCAGCCAATGCAGACGCTGGTTCCCACGAGCAGTGTCACCACGCAGCCTTCCCAGTGCAACATGGGCATCTCCCAAACCATGTGAGAAATGTTTAATTACCCTGCTCTCACACACACACACACACACACACACACACACACACACACACACACACACACACACACACACACACACACACACACACACACACACACACACACACACACACACACACACACACACACACACACACACACACACACACACACACACGTTCACTTGTTTGTCTCTGTGGTGTCATTTCGAAATTGTGCCTGATTTTTTCTTTCCACCCTCTGCACAGATACACCTTGGAGCAGCAGATCATCGCCCCTTCGTTCTCCATGCAACAGGTCAACTGCAACGCCGTCCTCGTGCCCTCTCCCTGCTTCACATCCCCCATAATGATCCCACCCAACGGTTTCATCACAAACCAGTCCCAGTCGGGTTATCAGACGCAGCCTCAGGCGTCTCAGCACTCCCTGCAGCTTCAGCAGCCCCAGCAGTTCTTTCAGGTACAAAATCATCTGCTGTTTGCTAATTGCTAATCTGAGGTTTCCTAGACTTTAACTCTGAGTCATTATGTGATGGATTTTAGCATTATGCTATGCAGCTTAATAAACCACACCTTTATATTTACTGATTTTGCTATAATTTCAGGCATTACACTGCATCTGAATCCCTAGTTACCATAGCAACAAGCTACTGTGTAAATCCCACAGGCTGTTAGAGATCTGTGTTATTTTCAATCGTACTTAACCTCGGCTTTGAATCAAAGATGTGATGTTTTCTAAAATTCATCAGGGTTAAATAAATAATCTTCTAAAGACTTATTTATCGTCTTTGTCCAAAAGGAACAAAACATGTCACCAGCCTTGAAAAACCCCCTGAATAGTCTTTTATTCAAATGTTTAGTCATATATTTGGAGTGTATGTGTGTAATGTATTTGTTCTCCTCGCTGAGAGGAGCGTGTCCTTCATTTTTTATGGAAGCAATGAAGGGTCTTTTGTGTCTAAACTTTTCATAACCCAGAACGAGTGTCATAATTTCTTAAGATTTACTGTGCGAGTGGTTACATAAAAGTTAGGGCAAAGGTAACTTCTTCTCAATATGAACCTTCTATTGAGGTTTTCAAAAAGAGATATGATTGTTTTTCAATGTAATTTATGACATCATTGCCCACAAAAGAATGGATATAATATATGATGATTGTTGACCTGGCTGTATATACAGTCTGTAATATATGGTTTACTTTGGGACACTCTGGAATTCAGCATCTTAAGCACATCTCAGGCTATTCTACTAATGGGTGAAGGGGAGTTAGTGACAGAGGTAATAACATTTAATTCAGTAGTTCTTCAAGGACGCAGTGTTTATGTGTTTATTTCTTTAGAAGTCAATAATTCCTCCCAAAAAGTGTACACCATAAAAACCTATTATGCCCGTTGGGTAAGGATAAGATTGCCAACACTTCAACAAAGACTCCTATTCTCTTGTGTGTCTGCAGATGGCTCAGGGTCTGGTTCACGGCGGATCAACTCCAGCGTTCTTACACACCACTAATGTCCCACAGCAAAGCACTGTGGGATACATCCAGCAGCATCAAACTCAGCAGCTCTCGCAGGCACAACAGCAACAGGTGCAACAGATGCAATATCAACACTCCCAGACCCAGACTAGCAGTGTGTCAGACTTCAGAAATATGCTGACTCGGTAACGCAGTGCACCGCGTTCAGAGCGCTGAGATCTAAACTCTGTGTTGTCGCCGTGCGGGCAGCAGAAGGTCGTGGCATTAGAAGTCGAGTTCTGTGGAAAGAAACGCCTGAAAGTGGAACGTTTTGCTCCTTACTGTTGGTGTTCAGTGGAGGTCGGTCAGTGGAAGTGGAAGCCAGAGGCAGAGGAGCACTGACCCGACGTTACCTGCGGGCTCTGAGGAGAGGCTGAGGGTCTGGACCTTCATCTGTGGCCCGGAGTCAATCAAAAGTGGAACTATTGGATCAAGCGGACTATCAAAGCTCTCAAGAAGACGTCACTGTCACATGTTTCAATGTAAAAGAGAGTTCTAAATGTCTCTTTGCATTGGTACTGTCCTCCCTCCTAAAGGTAGAATATTTATTTTTGCCCATGAATTAATATTCTTTTTTCCTCACTAATAATGGCTCGACGCCCCTCCCAAGACGTACAATCTCATAGCGTCATCATTTAGTTGGCAGATAACAGAAGTTTCTCCCATTCTGTCCACAAAACAATGATTTACTGTTCATGTCACGCAAATGCAGCAGTGAGGAATATTCTTTGATCATTTAGAAAGATCTAGATTTTTGAAGCCTCAATCTGGTACTGAAAGCGGGATCGTAAATCGGGTCCCGTCCCTTATCTTCGTAGAAGAATAACAGTCCTATACCAGAGGGGAAATATTTGTGCCTTTACCCATGGTCCGCCCATACTGCGGTTTAATGGTTGTGTCTGATTACGGCTTTAAAAATCCAGCCCAGGTCCATTTGGAATACAAAGTTATATTTTCGTTGGTCATAGTTTATTATTTTCTGCATCAGATAAAACAAAAGACATCTAGATTTTTAACATATATAACAAATATATATATATATATTGGATGCTTTTTGCAACCTTTAAATCTATACACTTATAGTAACACATAAGATTCATTTAACTATTTACTGATACCCTTAAATCACTTTTATTTATTTAATATATTTTTGAAAAATATATATTAAGAAACTAGTTTTATACAAAAAGGTTTAAGATGATTTTATGTGTTTATTTAGGCATTGAAGGGTCAACGCTGGTCCTAATGTCTCACACCATCTGGGTTCACGTCAGAACAGTCCACTGACCTGTGTGGCTTAAAACAAAGTGAAAGCCTGGTGATTTAAATATATTGGAAATAGTGAGAAACTTTGGTAGCCATCTTGCCTGCTATGTTGATAATTGTGAACACTATATCACCTTGTTTCTTCGGTATTCCTGTTGTTTTCTGTTCATTTTGTCTGATTGAAATGACCATCTGAGAAGTCACTAAATGTAAACTGTAATCATGACCAAATTACCTTTTTAAATCGCGTCCTACTCTGAAAGTGATCTCATCAAAAACTGAAAATAGTGCGAACAGATTATTACAGAAACCTCCAATGCATTATTGTATCATACAGAGGCAGCATTAACAAAAAACACATACATTTGACATTATTTGACCATTGTTTATTACACTGTAAATGTAAGTTATTCGTCAGTATTTTAAGATACCAGCTACTTGTTCTTTACATACTGTGCTTTTTGTATGGCTATCTTTCTATCATATTCTGAAAGATTCGTTGGTAAAACTACTAATCAGCTCTTGAAACTGCTCATTGGTATCAATCATCATTTTAAATATAAATGTGAGAGAAAGATAAGTCATCTCAAAGCGCTGCCTGCAGTAATGGCGAGATGACAGTTGTAAAAATAGAGGTGTACTGTCGAAGCCTGATACGCAGACGTAAAGGAAGAAGACGCACTAAAATAACCTGGTTCATGTTTCTGTTAATGACAATCAGAGAATTTGTAACAACATATAAAAACTGCCAGTCTGATTTCATGGTTTACATTTAAAAATCTATCTTTAAATCTGTTAAATCAGGAAAAACTGTTTATGACTCGGTGTTTCCTGTGGAACTTGTGCTACACTTTATAAAAGCAGCCCTTCATGCTCAAAACAGCAGTTTGCTCTCAGCTGTACCATCATATCCCTTCAGGACTGGTGCTGCAGAACTCCTGTGCCCACTTACACTTTCCTATGTGCAATGTCAATTTGAAGAAGAATGTTAATTTATACAGGATTGTGTGTGTATATATATATATATGGTGTTTAATAAGCCATTGTACCATGACAATTATATGGAAGTATTTTTTTAATGAAAATGTCCTAACATTCCGTTTATCAGCTCTTGAAGGTATCAGATATGTGCCGTGGGAATTTGGTGAAGAGTGGTATTTTTTCCCAAACAAAAGGCAGTAACTCATATGTTCACCCTGAGAACATATTAAATGAAGGATCTTTGTGTCCCCGGCAAACAGAATGTCAGACACTATGGGAGTCAGGGTGCAGCCTTGTGGTCTGGTAGTTCAGCCAAAAACAAGAAAATGTAAACCTGTACATTTATTTAGCTTTTTTTCAGTTTCAATTACAGATTTCTACCATTTCTGTCTAATGGTTTTTAAGAAAAAGTGCAATTGTACATCATCAGTCTCACTCTATGTATTCACACCCAGATTTGGTATGGAAAAAGTTGAGTGAGTGACCATTTGATTTAAACTCAGCCAGCAACACAGAGGTGCTATAGATGACTAATGTGTTTTTCATTAACAGGAAGTAGAAACTCCTTTTCCTTTTATCAGTAACCTTTAGCCTTTCAGAGAAATGCAGTAACATTTCCTCTTGAGGTTGTTTACCATCCGCATTCAGAGAAGATCTCAAAATCATCATACTGCTTCGAGGTGGTTGATGGAAGCGCCGCCCAGTAATCTCCACTTTGATTCAATCATAAGATAGTTCATGCATTGTGCTTCAGACGTGGGTTAAGTTATTTCCGCTTTGGACAATTCACCCAGTCTCTGCCACTTTTTGGAGTTTTTTTTTTTAAAGAGTGTATTGCTTCACAGGTGTGATTGTAAATAATGCATCTGCTCTGACGGTACTGTTTTCTACCTAGTCTCCCTGACAGCACCTTTTCTTCTGTTCTTCAACTCGAGTGCTTTCTTTTTTCATGTTGTTTTTCATTGAGTGTCATTGTTTTTGAAGGCATGTGATTTGAATCACATATACTTGTACTTTCTAATAGTGACTGACACTTATGAGCGTGGGCAGTGAGATTATTGCATTCTGTGTAAGATTTGCCTGAACATGAACAAAACAGAAACGGTGCACAGCCATTTCTACAGTCTGAATGCAGAAACAAACATTTAATGTTGTATAATAGAATGTAAAAAAGTTTAATATATATATCTATATATATATATATAATTGTTTATTTTATATGCCTCATAGATTATATACATAAATTCAATGATTTAAAATTAAAGTAATTTTGTAACAGATAATGAAGTGTCTTATTAGAGAAGGTGAGGTTCTTTGTGTTGCACAGTTGTATGGCTTGTTTTCTTTCTGTATTTACCATCAAAATAAGCTTTAAAAATATCTTTAACATTGTTTTAAAAGAAATTAAAAAATTAAGTTTACATTCTAAAATATCTTGATATGAATGATGTTATATTGAATTATTTATAAATCAACCTGGATATTGTGAAATATTTGAAAATAAATATTTTTAAACATGTTTTTGCAAAAAGGCATATTTTTACATCAGTACAGCAAGCTTGTAATAACCTGTGCAAAGTACTTACTCGGATCAAATATTGTGCAACACGTTTTTAAACACTTCTCACGCAGCAGAGGGCAGTCCATATGAGCCAGTGTCGCACCTCCCTGAGATTTCACAGTGATTCATTTGATGTCAGCCATCCCAAAATACCACTCGCTTCTCAAAATCTCTACAGTGACGATGTGCTAGTGTTAAAACCTGCAGTATGTCGTAAGCTGACACCTTATTATCGCCTGAGCAATCTGTCAAATACACAGCTGAATGTTGATGGAAGGAAAAATGCAACTTTTTAATTGATTGCATTAACATGTTTATCTTTTACAAAAGTATTATTGGAAGAATGTGACATTAACTGTACACGTGTAACATAATTTACAGTATCAAATGAAGATTTGGTATAAAACATTTCATCTTTCTATCAAAAATTACTTTCTAATGACATGAATTCTGATGAATATAATTACAAGATAGTCTCACAGAGCCGTACACTTTGAAACCTCGGTCACTCTGTACACCTTGCTGATCAGGACCTCCACTCTGTCTCCACCCAGATGGCAGAGGTCCAGGATGCAGACGAGGTGCATGTCCTCCAGCTCCCCAGCAGACCCCAACACCTCCTCTGCAAGACAAACACTGATTATAAATGTAATGCTGTGTATTGGTGATAAGGGTCTTCCCACGATGTCTTTGGATCCTCCACCCTTTTGTAGGTCCGGTGAATACCTGGCTTGGGAAGCGTTGATTGGCTGTGGCTGAGCGGACAGAGGAAGCCTGACGAGAGGCAGGACAGCATTGTGTTGCCATGGGGATCCTGAGGGAGAGCGACAGCCCTGGGATCATCTGAGCTCACAACGGGCAAAAATACAGCATCGATGGCCATCTGTTTGTTTATGCCTGTCAGAATGATAACACAGAAGAAGAGTGGCAAACTGAGCACAAGAACAATTTCACACATTTCATTTTCAAGAGCTTTCTTTTTTTTTTTCTATCTTTTAAAAGAAAACTAGTCCAATTTATTCTTGGCCCACTTCAGTTCAATAAGAATTGTATACATCTATGGATCCGTTTTTTTATTAATATGGAAGGGGAATTCCATTTAAACGGGGTGAGTAATTAAAATTATCATTCTTAGGGTGAAGTACGCATTTAAAAATACTAATAATAGTTATATTAATTTGTGTTTTCTTAATGTGACTAACGGCCCGTCCACATGGCAGCGTGCGTTGCTTCAACGGAGACGCTTCCCATTCACTTTGAATAGGGTGACGTCACGCTTTGCCTCCGTTGCTCGCTTCGAAAGTTGAGAAAAGTTCAACTTTTCAAGCCTCGAGGGAAGCGTCAGCCAATCAAATCATATGCCAGTATAAGCTCAAGCCTATCAAACCGCGTGCTTGTGTGTCCAGGGCGGGAGATTAATGTGATTGGTTGTTGGTCGCTAGCTAGACACGCCCACCGGCAAGCTTCAACGCACGCTGCACGCTGCACGTGTGGACGTACCGTTAGACCTCTGGCTTGTTTCCTCCGAAAGCAGGACTAGCAACTCACTGACAATGTAAATAAATGCAACAAAAAAAATTCAGGCCAGCTTTGAAACTCTGCATAGATTAAGTACTAACCATTTTTGCCTCCTAAAGACAGCTATTCAGTGTCTGAATAATTCAGACAGAATATAATGTCGGGTGCAAAAGGATGTCCAGGTTCAGAGACAGAAATGCTCAAATTAACTTCCTGTGGGTCACAGATCAGAGTAATTCTTACGCTAAGACTTTACCTAGTATTGTAACTTGGTAGAGCCCGGGACAGACCACAGGAGGGGGGGTGTCCGCACTCTGCTCTGGGGTCCAGTGCGTCGGCTGAAGGTTACTCCGCTGCAGGAGGTCGTCCTTTTCGTCAAACGTGAACCTCCGAGACACGCTGTCCTGGTGCAGCCCGCCGTCACACAGATATTCAGACACTTCCTGTTTCTGCTTCGGCCAACTGCTGCTTTCCCAAGATATGACATCAGAGTCTGATGAAAACACAAACATGTCAATATCAGAGTATCCGAATGCAAAATGTACATCGCGGTCAAACTGCAGCTCCAATGACACACCTTGATTTCGCTGGCTGTCTGCGACATTCGGAGCGTCTTCAGATCCAGAGTCGCTCTCTTTCTCTTCCGCTTCCTGCTCTTCTTCTTCCTCAATCTCTGAGCTCCTTCTGTTTCTGCACCAACAGGAGACTTTCAGAGTGATTGAACTTGATAACTAATGAATACTACCAGCTGGATCATTATTACCTTTTTGCTGCCATGCTACGAAGATTCAAGGAGAGCTGCTTGACTTTTCTGGAAAACATGTATGTATTCACATTTTATGTAAAATCAAAACATGTGCTCCTAGCAGCCACTAAAGATAAATTATAGATTCGCTATTAAGTTTACAAATATTTGAGTCAGGAGTGACTTTTTAGCATATTGTTGTGTTGTTTTTTTATTATATTTTAACTTAGTACTTTTTTAAAGCATTTAAGATATGCAACACTAAGCTGTCTGTGGCTCTTTCCTGCTGTAACGCTGCAGATTTCCCCTCTGTGGGACTAATAAAGGTATTCTGATTCTGATTCTGAAATCTTACCTTGTTTGAATTCTTCTTTTTATTCCTCTTACTGAGATTTTCTCAGCAGGTGAAATGGGAGCCGTGGTCTGCTCAGCTGTGGAGGGATGGTCCTGTGTGTTTGGCTCACACACATCAGGAGCAACATCTGGCACCTGCTGAAATCAGTTGACTTATTTAACAATGTGGTAATGGTCGCTACTCTTGGAAAGGTGATTTAATGTTCTTTACTTCTCTCTCCTCTGTTCCTCTAGACTCTGTTGATTTGGGGTGTTTCGTGTATCGCACTGCCGCGATCTGTCCTTGAATTGCAACTTTTTTATGCTCCCTATATTGGAGGGTCTCCATCTCCTTCTTCAAGTCGGCCGCAGCAACCAGAGGAACTTGAGCTGAAGAAGGAGCAAAAATAAATACATTAAAAGAAGTCTGTAGGACTCAGGATTTATGTGCTTGGTGTAATCTACACTTTGAAGATCAAACAGATGACTGTAAATTGTCTTTTTAAGGGGAACTTGGAAGAAAAGCTTTTGAAAATCCCCTGCAAATCCCCTCTATCTTTTGACAAAACTGGAGGAAAATGCTAACATATATTCTTTCCGATTCCTGCCGCCCACAAGAGAACTGAGTATTTCTTATTTTGGTTCAGTACTGTAGAGAAGTTCATAATTTCAAGCTCTGCTCTGAAATTATTCATATTAAAGCTGGACTTACTTTCTGGAGCTTATCGGTGCATAATTAGATAAAACTATAGTTCACTGATGCCCCTTTCACACCAACGCGTTTTCAGGCTCCGGCTCGGAGCTGGAGCCTGAAAAGTACAGTTTTTTCCTGTTCACACCGCAGCGGCGCCGCCTCTTAGCTCCGGAATCCGATTCACTTCCAGCTCCAAAAATTGTGCGGTCTAGAGGCAAGAGCTTCGGAGCTAAGAGGCGGCGTCGCTTACGTCTCTCTTACGTCGAGGCGTGCAGGAAACTAAACCCACCTCCCCTGAACATGGGTCGACTGAAGAGTCTCGTCATGCCTACCTACAAGCAGTAGCGCGGAGCAAAGTGACTAGAAGGCAGCCACACAAAAAAACACACTTTATAAAGTCAGGCAACACTAACCAGGCTTCGTGTGATTCTGTTTATTTGTACCTTACTTTGACCTTCCGGCTTCCGTTCACTGTTATTGATCATTGTGGAGAGAGGCAGACGTTTTGTTTTGTATTATAGCAGCTATCGGATGGAATCCATACATGGGCTGCACAGGTTGTCGTGTCCTACTATCACAAGTAGAATCATAATGAAAACTACGCCGGTAAAATGTGCCTGTAGAAAACGGCTTATGCCACAATAGGATAGCAATAGCAAGTAGTCAGTTTACCTTCGGTTGCTATGCTAACCACCCATTTTATACCAGAGACACTTTAATAACAGCGTTGTGAAGCCAAACAGCGTCAATTCAGACTGACACACATTCACTTAAGGGGAACTGGGGATAGTTATCAGCTGCTTGTGTGACAGTCAGACAGTGAATACTTTAGAGCGGCCGCTGCAGTGTGAGCTAACCGGGAGCTAATGGGAGAATAAACTCCTGTGGAAGAGCAGCCAGCACTGCAGCGGTCGGTAAATGCCGCTGAAACACATTAATAAACAATGAACCACGGCACTCTGGAGAAAAGCATAAGGTTGGAGAAGTCGTCTCAACGTCTCACCTCCGAGCAACGGGATGGAGTGTCGTAGACACTCTGTCTCTGCAAGTAGTGTCCATGTCGGTGGTCGAGATTGTTTCACCTTCCACTATTACGAGTACAAAATAGTCTGACCATTTACGAGTGACACAAAAGACTTGGAGGTGATGTTCCGAATGGTGTTTTCCAGTCGGTATACACTCACTGGGGTCTCTACTTCTGAAAGTAGGTCACCCTGGTTTTGAGACTTCCTGTTGCAACAGAGGTCTTCTGAAGACAGCCGCCATGTAATGACGATGGAAGCAGTGGGGCGTCTGTAAATGGGTCAGTACCGTCTCGCGGAGTACAGTCACTTCTTGCAATAATAACGTGATAAAACAAAACCGGAGAGAACGCCGAAAGTGTGGTCGCGAAAAGGGAAAGATCGAGGCTCGATCTCGAAAAGACCAAGTCGAGCCAAAGTGAAAAGACGAGGGCGAAACAGTGTGGCGGTCTCGGGCTGACCACGACGACGACGACTCAGTAATGCAAGTGGCAAATGTAGCGAACTAAACTAGGGGTTGCCGCGAGTGTTGTTTGTTGTTGTTGTTGTTACCCCTGAACGCGCCCAGCCTACTAGCACAACGAAAAATTGAGTGTGCTTCGGTCCTAAT